TGTGAGGAGCTTCATTGCAAGAGAGACATCACACACCTTCGGAATAATCCTTCATTTGTTCACTTGCTATTGTCAGAGCGAGGCAAATGTGTTTTCACGCACATGGTAGTGTAAAGGTCCAATTATTTTGTCTTTCTCAAAAATAGGAAATTCTCACTAGTGTAAATAGTGCTGACATTTAGATCACAAAGATGGAAATAAGTCATGTGGACTATGCTATATAGATTTCAAGGTGGAATTAGCAGGAACTAGATATCTATCACACATTTGAAAATATCTTAAAAATTTGCAGATAGAAAAATATTTATTCTTGCTTTTTCTTTTTTCATTATTTTGCAAAACAATGAAATGTATTTATCATCAAATGCTTTCCTCATGATGTATGGGCATGCTCCATGAATTGTGTCAACGTACTCTCCGTACTTTTTGCTGATGGTTCCAAAAATTAGTTTCAGTGCCGTCCAAACTCATTCTATCTTGATAATATTCAGTGTCGGTGCAGTAGGCATCAGTAGACTGGCATTCAATTAAACCAAAGTCAACGTAAAATCTGAATTTCACTTTTCCCAGGCTGTGAGAAAAGAAAATGAATACATTTGTTTGGTTGCTGCACAGCAGTATTAACGCTGACAAGCCTGTAGTTTTCTTTTCAGTGAGTAGATTTTAGTACTAACTTGTGACCATGGTGTTTATAAGTGAGCACATGCTGTTGCTTATGTCAGAGATTTCAGTCTCCTGACCTCATGTTGCCTGGGCTTCAAGCCTCACAGGGCTTTTCATCATAGTGGAGGGGCTAAAAGCACTAGAAGCTCTGATACCAAATCTTATGTAAAGAAATGTTATAATTTAAAATTAAAAGATAGAACACCAACTTGTTTGATGATGTTACTGGAGTGCTTGGCTTGTATTTCCAGACTTACAGTGAAATGAAAATGGACAACCTGATTTAAAGACGTGCTGAAGTGTTAGCAGTGAGTGTTATGGCAGCAGCCTGAGGTTCGCTGCATGTCTGAATCACTAGAACGCGGGGTGTGTCTCTGCTCTGAGGACTGTAGGTCCTCTGAGTCAGCCGTCTGGTTTCAGGTTGCACGTTTGTGATTGGCTGTTTTTGTTTGACTGATACACAGTGAATAAGTCAAAGCATTTTAAAGATGCAGCGACTGTCTTTATGCTCTCTCCAAGACAAGTCATCAGTCCTGTTGTTGATCACACCATATTCCATTGATGAAACACTTTTGAGGGTATTATTTTGTGTAATCAGCATATGAATGGAATGTGAATACCAGTGCTTTTCTCTCAATCAGTGCCCGGGGATTTCAGTTCAGTGCTAAATATTTGTCTTTTTTTCATTTTTCATTTTTTTCCCCATACATTATAAAGAAATAGTAAAAAAAAAGACCATAAACATTGAACATATAGTGACATGGACAGAAGGATGATTCCGAAATGCTGTGACCTTATTTTTTTTTTAATTCATAAATTGTATGTTTTTATATATATTTATAGTTGCAAGTGATTCATAATTATAGTATAGTACAGCGATTCCCAAACTTTTCCATTTAGAGGCCTACCAAACAACATTAGCTTCTGGCCAGGGACCCCCTTTGAAACCTACAGACAATGCTGCAAAATATGCTAAAAACAATTAGCTTTTTGAACGTTATTTTTTTACTTTTATTCACTATTCAATAATTTTAACATATGTTTAGCACAAGATAATTATTAATGAACCTGCACTAGCTAGCTACACGCTAGCTTGAGGAGCACAGCAGCTTGGTGACAGGCAGAAACCACCAGGTCTGCAGAGATTGTGTTGTCGTCATGCCGATGTTGCAGCAGTCACATAAGGGGTGTTCAGATAACATTGGAAAC